TCCCTGCACCCACTACGGCCCCTATCCCTCCCCTGCAATCACTACGGCCCCTATCCCTATCCTGCAATCACTACAACCCCTATTCCTCTCCTGCACCCACTACGGCCCCTATCTCTCCCCTGGAATCACTATGGCCCCTATCCCTCCCCTCAACCCACTACGGCCCCTATCCCTCCCCTGCAATCACTATGGCCCCTATCCCTCCCTTGCGCCACAGCCCCTATCCCTCCCTTGCAATCACCACGGCCCCTATCCCTCCCCTGCAATCACTACGGCCCCTATCTCTCCCTTACAATCACTACGGCCCCTATCCCTCCCTTGCAATCACTACAGCCCATATCCCCTCTCTGTCACAGCTACAGCCCCCTCCCCTGCACCCACTGTGAATATAATGTAGTGGTGGAAATTATAAGTGCCTGCCCAGTTTTAACTGTGGTATCTTTTGTGCCCTCCTGTGTACTGCTCCTAGAGTTGCCACAGCTGGCATCATAACCATTACATAGAACTGCACTGCATATGATGCTTGGAGTAGTAAAATTGCCATGGTGTGCCTATAGCCACTCTGAAGAGTTTTTTTCCTCGATCAACTATTTTGCATAAATTTTGCCAATTGGATTTTTTTTTTAATATAAATTCTTTATTTATACATTTTGCAAATGTTTTATGATTGTCAGTGGGGTGGGGTACAGAAGAGAGAGGGAAGGGCAGTAAGTACATTTGCATTTCGTTACATTTCTCATTATTTACTGCATTTCTGGTTTTGCATGTATCAATTTTCGTTTGTTTCAGTGCGTGGGGCACTCGTTGTTGCCTAGAGTCCAGTATGCGTGTCGGATTTGTGTCCCCTATGAGTTGGGGTCTTTTATGGCAGGGAGGCCCTCACGTGCTGGAAGTGACTGGCCATGTGAAGGGTCGGGAGTACGTGGGAGGGGGGGTTGGTGGGGGGGGGGGCAGGTGTGGGGAGTATTGGATTGTTGGGGTGTGCCTCGTGGGCCTACGGGCTTGGGTGTCTCGTGTGGTTCTGTTTATGGTCGCGAGCACTGTTTTGACATTGGCAACTGGTTCTGTGTTGGGGGGGGTTTGTTGGGAGGGGGGGTTGCATGGGTCATGGGGTGTCCTTCATTGGTTGGGGCCTGAGTGTGTCAGTCAGGGCCAGTTGGATTTTTAACCACGTCATTGAACTATAGTTCCCGATCAGACAGTATTTGCTATTATCTGCACTGCGAGAGAAAAAACATTAATCAAAAGGTTAGAATAAAAAACTATATGCATTATTATATTTTTTTCTTACATTTTTTCAAACGTTTCACCTTCACAATGTATTTCCAATATGGAGTACCCCTTTAAGGGACGCAAGTCCCCCATTCTAATCGTTCGTGTTGAATAGTAAAAATAGATGTACTCACCGCCGGGTCGATAGGAATCAGGGCTGATCGAAATCAGATGGGCGTCAACAACTCTGACTTTTCCAAAAATAACCTTTAGAAAATAAACCCTCGGGGGGCTAAAGAAATAGCTGAGAATCCAGAGCTGATCCACCCTTGCCAAATCAGAAGGAACAGAGTGTTTTTTGCGTACACCCATGTTTTACTTACACATTCTAATGAAGGCACTGTCCCTCAGGCCATTTAACCCCTAGATTGCCAGAGGGTGGAATTGCCAAGCGTAACCTTTATCACTTTATAGCGTTTATTCACTACAGACATTCGTGAAAAACCGGCGAGGGTATTGCTGAAGTTTAAGCCAAATATTGTGAGCTGTATAATTGCTGGGTTGGAGAATTCTCAGTATTTTGCCCTAAAACTTGCAAGTCAGGTATCACTTCTCAGTTTACAACAGAAATGTTAAAAAGATATTCCCTGTAGCAGGGAGTAGGATAATCTTCCCTACTGGCAGAGAGAGAAAACCAAGGGAAGAGGTTGTGTGTTGCACTCTTTATTCATTAGCTCCTTCACTCCTTTTCAAAATGGGCAGGGGAATAGCCCTTCAGAGTTTGTGCAGACCGATATTGATTCCCCTATTTTATTGAGGTGCACCATTATATAAAAAGTGACCACAAAGTACAAGGTTCTTAAAGCCCTGCGAGCCCACTTTCATTTTGCCGAATGGGCTATACTGGCAGAGATTTGTAAAACATTTGCTGCTGCTATAACACAGCCTGGAACCTG